AAAAAAAAAAAAAAAAAAAAAAAAAAAAAAACCTTAAAAAAAAAAAAAAGAATCCTGGAACTTCAGTACCATTAGCAATTTGACGACACCTTGGAATCAGACAGCCCCCAGTCATCCTAGGGTAAAATGCATTTTTTCCTCCTCTTTTAACAGGTCTTTCAGTTGGTGCATTATGGTGCCATGTGGGGGGCAGAACTTTGAGTTTTCAAACTCTGGCCTGTGATACATTATATAACTCAAGTGTGAGATGGGCTCTGGGGCATTTCCTCTTCTGCACGGCAGTAAACGGAAGCAACAAAACTGCAGCCTGCCTTCCAGGAAAGGCAACCGAAGAATTGACAGTGTATAAGGAACTGAGAAACGGTTCAAAAAAAGAATCTGCTCTTTTGACACCCTTCCATTTCAGGAGAAAAAAAATCAATTAGAATCAGTACATGACAATTTCAAGATGTCTACTTGATTATCTTAACACACTGATTTTATGTGCATGCCCTGACCCAACCCAAACCCGCTTTCTGGTTGTCGAGCTAGGACTGGGTCTGGAGCTCACAGACCACTCAAGCCCATTGTCCAGACTGGGTCACAAACCCTTCACATGCCAGGCTGGGTCCCCAGAGGTCCCCTAGGTCTATGAGCTAGGTAACCAGCAAAAAGGTCCTTGGAAGCTGTAGGTTGGAGAGCATGGCTGTACTTGGTGGATGCCTGAGGCAGACATCAGCCAAGGTCATGGCACTGCACATGCACACTAACTCCACCCTGCCACACACAATTTGCTTACAAAGAATGTGCCATACTACCCCCAACCTGACCTAAGGTGAGGGGTCTTGATTATTCTATTTTCCCAACACTGGTCATTGTATTAAGGGCTGAGACAGAGTTTAACATAGACATAAGGTCAATCTTGTTGTTCAAAATGACCTGTGTTGATAAGCACTTTAAGAGTTAATTTCACAGTGTTTTTTCTTAGATAGTGGAGGGGTACTTAGGCATACAGACTGTAGTTAATACACATACTAGTATAATAGAAATAGAAGAGGAGACAAAAAGTTCTGGTGACAAAAATAAACTGTTTCCCCATGTGTGAAATGAGGAAGTAGAACTAGATTTCCATGCTTCCTATTTAACGCTTTGATTCTACATAATAAACAAGTATAATAAAATAGCTAACATTTAATGAGCACTTCCAGATCATCTCATTTACTGCCTACAAGAACCTATGAGATGGGTGCTATTATCAATCCTATTTTACAGATCAAGAAACTGGGGTGCAGAGATATCAGTAACTGCCCCCAGATTATATTCTGAGGTGAATGAAGCTAATTCACCCCTAAAGCCTGACTCCAGAGCCATGCTCTTATGCACTAAATTGCCTCCTTATTTACAGCAAATGCTCCTCCAGCTTCTCAGCTTGTTACTGGCACAGAAGTACCAGGCAGAAATGAGGCATTTCCACACAGCAAGCAGAACCCTTTTGATAAATATTCAGGCCATCCAGTGACCTCTAAAGCAGTAGTTCCCAACCCTGGCTGCACTTTAAAAGTCAGCTGGGGAGTTTTAAACAGCACTAGCGCCTGGGTCCCACTTGCAGAGATTCTGATGTAGTCAGTGTGAACATCAGGATTTTTAAAAGAATTTCTTAGGTGATTTGAACGTAGCCCACATTGAGAACAAGTACTCCAAATTTTCTGGGAATGGAGTTGTTCCAGGGGCATGTTCCATCCACATAGGATCAGGTAGCTCAGAGGACCTTATATGCCAACCACTGACATCTTAATTCAAGGTTTTTAATTCTGCTACCTGTAAAAAGTGAACTCACTTATGCTTGTCAATACCATCTGCTGTTTTAGAACATTAGCTTCCTTTAAAAGGTCAGAGCCAGTGTCTCATTTGTATGTATGTGCCCAGACCCTAATTTAACAACCCTAAACATTTATTTCCAAACAGAAAATGACTAAAACATGTCCATCTCACAATGCCAGGATCATAACAGAATGCTCACTTAAATCTATCTACTGGTTATTGGTGAATACTTATCTGCTAAGCTTTGAGATGACAAAAGCAGCACACTTTCGACCCTGTAGTTTAAAGTTTTTGGCAGGTGTTCTAGAAGAACGAACAGTGAGACATTTTATCTGACCTCTCACATCACGGGCCTGTTTCCATAACTCTGGCACAGGCAGCATGACTAGATGGCTCCAGGGCAAGGGCAACAAGATTGAGGCACTTACGCTTTGCTAAGTGCTATGAAAATTGCACTCAACTCCCTCACTTCAGTGTAATCATCAACCATTACCTGATTAGTTTTGCCCTTTGTGGCACCTGGTCCCACCCTTGCTCTGGACTGGACCAGTTTTCTTGCTCTGGTTTGTGTTTTACAATTCACTTATCCTTAGTCAGAGGATTTGGCCACGAATCCCTTTTGTGGATTTCCTCCTAGATAAGGTCTGTTGGTAACACCTCTGCAGACTGGCCTCAGTCCCTAGTACCCAACACTCTCACATTCTAACATCTGGATATGATGTCTGAGCTGGCAAAACCTGTTTTTTTAAGGTACGAAAGAAAGCACTTACCACAGTCGAGCACTTATCAAGCAGTTGACCACAATCAGGAACGATGGGAAGAACAGATGCCCACTAGCTTTGCAACAGCCAGTCTTGAAATCATTCTGAAGTTCATCTTCTTCACCTCTTTGAACCCTGCCTTCTCAATGCAAGTGGTTGGATGTGACAGTGGCTGCAACCTATCCTTTGGTCTTGAGGAGTTGCCTTTAATCATTTATTTTATGCTAACCAAGTTGATCAAACAACTCTTCCACATTTGTGTTTTCTCAGCCCTGAGGATGTACTCATGAGGAACCCAACCACCTACAGTGTTACACTCTTTTCCTTTAAGACAAAACAGACTCTCAATCTCAGTCTTCCCACGTTGTCCTTTTGTGGTTAGTGACCTAGAGACCTCTCATTTCTTGTTGAGATGTTTTCATTTAGAGCAGAAGGCCTGGTCTTATCCTTACTCCTCTGATCTAGACAATTTAAAGCATTCTCTACCTACGTCCACCCCACATCCTAGGATACTGATTCTCAGCCACAGGGCATGTCATAAGCATGACTATGCCTGACCCACTGTAAGGTCTGTGGCAAGTAACCTCCACCCAATAATAAAGTGTCACTGCAATGACTTCTTCTATGAATTCAAATAGATCCAAGAATAACCCTATAATGATACCACTATCAATCACAGGCATTGCTGAATGATTTGAGAGGGAGGCTAAGGGGTGGAGTCATATGAAGCACTGCCATGACCTCCAGCCCGTGTCACTTATACTATCTAAAAGATTAATGATTACACATTATTGTAGTGATTTAATCTGGGTATATCCATAGAACTGGATATGTGAACTGAGGCTAAAAAAGGTTTACAGCCACTGGCCCAAATCTTTAAAAAGTACCAACCACATATTTCTTTAGGTGGTAACACCTGTCTGATCTTCAAAGAACCAAGAAGTCTGACTTAATATATAATACCAACTATAGTGGAAAACTATTACCTAATATACTGGACAGATAATACATTTTAGATTGTAAATTTATTTAGGTCAGTGCATACTATATTGTTTGGGCACTATATACAGACTTTATTTTCTTGTATTAAGTTGTGATAATCTAGCTAGATAAGTTTCATAAAACTGCTTAAATCTAAATGAAATCCTTTGGTGAAGAAAATATTTTGACTGGTTGCTTCTGCCAAACCAATCCTGGTGATTAATATAATGGCCCATGCCATAGCTGGACTGCTCTTATATCCAAAATGTGTTCTAAGAAGGGAGTAACTTAGCCATAAGCACTTTTATTCTTCATGTCATGGTATCATTGCCAAATAATACCCTATCCTTCACAGGCATAAGCCTTTGAATCAGTTGCACACAGACAACTCCCAATCGGTGGGTATCTTGAATAAACCATCCTTAAGACCATTTTCTTTTATTTATAAAGGAAAACTATTCAAAGGGTTTGAGCATCAATTAAACAGTAGAAGCAAAAGAGGAAAAAAAAAACATATGTACATTGCATTTCTTTGGGCACTAATATCTTTGGCTGATCTGAGATTATATGGGACACTAAGAATAAATAAAAACATTGAAAAGTTTAGTTTACTAAAGTTTTGATGAAATAAAAATAAAGGCAATTCAAGTTGTCATTTATAATTTTAGGGTTTGTTTCCCATATATAATGCTGTGTTACTAAGCAGTGAACGCTTTCATAAAAAATTTATTTCACACTTTTATACAAATATCCACAGGTATTTTCTAATCATGAAATAATTTTACAATGCTAGTTAGTATAAAAATGTATCAAATGCAAACAGACCAGTGACTTGACTTGAGATGACAGTTTTAACAACTATAAATTTAAACACCATAACATTCTTGTTTGTTGTTGAACTACCCTCCCACCCCCCTTTTCAGAATATTCATTTTTATAACAAAGGCCTATTAAAAACTGTCAAAATATCAGCTTCTTAGTAACCTATAAAGCCAGTGCATTAGGCTCCAAGTTACCCAAGTAAGAAACTGAGACTTTAAACACTGTTATGACCTGTTTTAGGGAAATTTTTGTAAACAAAACATCTTTTGTAAAGCTATTTTTGAGAATGAAAATTCCAAAGTATAACCAGAATAATGTCCTTAGTATATTAACGGTATAAGATATCTGAGAAGAAAAAAAAAATTAAAACTCCAAAGAAACAATGGCACATACAGCTATATTTTGTTCTTTAAAAAGACTGAGACACTGCTTACATCACAGCCAAACAAATCTGCACCTGTTTGCTGGTGCTCCCCACCTAACTTACCATTTTGAAGCATGCTAACTAGAAAAGCCTTCAGCTTTCATATCTACTCAGTCTCTATTGAATGTACAGAGAAATAAGTCTCACCCTCGCCAATGTTACAATTAAAAAACAATTTAACGTTCTTGTTAAAGTAGTCCCAAAGTAAGTCAGGGAATATAGATAGGGGAGGAAACAAAACAAAAAACAGAACATTGACTCACTGATTAAGTGGTTCCAATAATATTTAAAAGCTTAAAAGGCATGATGTCCTATCTGACTAGAATCACTGCTTCGGTGGCAGATATTCATTCAGTAGTCTTACACTGGATCAGTTTGGATCCACCATAGGCACTCACCATTTTTTTCAAGTACTGAATATACAGTATTTGCAGCAGTGAGTAAACTGCACTAGAGTTCAATAAACAAACCCATTTTCTCTAAGAGTTCCTGAAGGTTAGAGCATGAAATTCAGAAACATCACACAGGGCTCTAATCTAAAAAATATCCAATGTCTGATAAGGATTAAACATTTTACAGTTAATCCTATTTCTTAAACAAACCTTTTGGTGTGGGAATGGGGGCTGCCATGAAGGAGAGGGTATAATTTACAGATAAGTTTAAGGTATTAAAACAACTCTGGTACACTTACAAAGAATTGTTATTTTCATTTTGCAGTAAATAATTTGGGTCAAACCAATGACCTCCCATGTTCTCATTCTGATTGCTGAAACCAACCTGAAGGGTAAACTGGAGAATCTTTGGCCTGTTAGTCAATAACAAAATGGTTTGCCAAAAAAAAAAGAAAAGAAAAGAAAAAATAAATACCATATACAAATAAGAATAACTAGCATTCAAGTCTGTTGCACCTGTGTGTTTTAGTGAAAAGGGAGAATGAAACCTGTGTGCATTTGGCGTGAGCAAGTACTCACACACCTAGGAAATGGAAAAAGATGGCAGGATGGCGACATCACCTTCTATTGCACATTTAAGACAGCACTTTAAATTGAAACAACTACCCTGATGGCGTAGTCTTGTGATGTGGAACAATTAACTTTCAGGTTCTATGGGAAAGATGTTTGTAGTGGCAGTGGCGAGGTTAGGACAGCCACTCTGTTAGCACAGGCGATTGTGGGTGCCTTTCTCCAGTCATGCTGTCGGGAGGAAGTCGCATAAGTGCAACTGGGCGGCCACTCTGTTAGCACAGGCGATTGTGGGTGCCTTTCTCCAGTCATGCTGTCGGGAGGAAGTGCAACTGGGCAGGCCCTTCCCCGGCAGGTGTAAGTCAGCCACACCAAAAACAAAGGCAACCCGGAAGGTTAAATTAAGGCAGTTAAAGAAAAATCCATTCCAAGTCTTAAATCTGGCTGTGCAAAACAGGAGCCTTAGGCTGAGTAACAATATCCACAGTTAAAACTGTAGGTTCGTACTGTGTGTAGTCAAGTCTGAAATCAATCTTCAGGTATCAAACAGGCTTTTACATCCATTTGAATTTCTGAGTTGGGGAAAAAAATGCACTTTGGGTACTGTGAGGCTTTTTTTGCCCCCCCCCGCCCCCACTAGGAGTAGCTTTCATTTTCATTCCACTTTGTGATCCACTGTTTTTTTTCAAGGTGATCATTATACTTTTCATCTTTGATCTCCCGCTCTTCTTTCCGGATCCTTACAGCATGGTATCGGGGAACGCTATCATCGTACCTAGAGCGTTTAAAGAATCCACACTGGAGAAGTGGGGAAGAGAAGAAACAAATGAATTAATCTCAGGAAAAACAAGTGCACTAAATGGGAATATCTAAGCTTTCTGTTCAGCTATGTCTATCTTTGGACTAAGGAAAAAAGACACAGTTTTCTTTTAAGAAAGAACTAATAGGTTGAAAAGAAATAACAGCCAGTGGGGATAAACGAAGAGAACAGCTATAAAACTAGAAGAAAAGTCCATTTTTATCTTTTCTTTACATTTTGTAACAATGTAAGCTACCTCTTTACTAAGGATTTAAGAGGTTATGAAACATTGATTCCACTTAGAAAAAATAACCACAATATTATATGTAAAGGATCTAATTTCAGATTACTAGATCATTTTAAGAACAGTTTTTGAAACAGCTAAACTGAAAATTATTTCATGCTCCTCTCCCACTAATAAAATGAAAATCAGGTCACAAATATTTTACAAATTACTATTTGAATATGCCAGTGTTCCAATGGGTCAATTTAAGAACCTTCTCTTGTCAGAGGCTCTAGTCCACATACCACATCTCTCATTAGCTAGAAGGTAATTTACATTGCCTGGATTTGCTGTTGTGCTTCCAATTAAGCTGTTTCATTAATAAATCATGTAGTAACTGTGTCCTGCAATAAAATCAATCATATACCACATAGGACTTGACGAAAGTACCACTACACTGAATTTCAAAGCACTCCCTAATTTCTCTTCTTTTTCTACAAAAAGAAAGAAGATACTTACATTTAAATGGTTAATATATTTTATTCATTTAAAAATTCAATCTGACACAAAGTATATTTTTATTGAGAATATATCTGAAAAATTTTGATATATTCAGATTGAATTTTTTAATGAATAAAATGTTTTTTAAAAAGGTGTGTTTTCAATTTTAAAATGCAGCTTAGAAGGATGAGGAAGATGCTTAGAATGGCTGATTAATGTGTTTATTATGTGACATCAACAGGAACAGAACATTTATGTTGAATGATGTTATATAAATGCCATGGGGCAAGATAAAATTAGTTATCACTAAACTGTAAGCAAAATGGACCAAGAAGTTTTGCTCTAGGCCATTTCTATATGAACTCATTTATTATTCTGTGCAAAAATGCCAAAGTACTTATATATGACAAAACATCACTGCTGCCTGCCTCATTTAAACAAAGAAGGAAATTAAAGATGATATGTAACATTGAAATGTTATTGTTGGGATTCATCATGACAGTGCCATGGAAAGGGATTGAGTATTTTCACCCTCTCATGCCCAAAAACTTGGAAAAAGGAATCACTGACAATTCCTGTTTCCAGGGATATACAAATAAGAAAAGCAAAACATGAACTTAAAATCAACTGAGACTCAAGCTTGAATAAAATCTCTAGGAACATGAAACTTGGTCAAACTCCATTACAACAAATTGAAATAAAAACTGTTCAGAGCATTTGTTGTACTGAAATTTTCTATATTGAAGGTTACTTTGGTAGAGGACTGTCTTTTGAAGTTGGTGATAAAGCCCCTCATGCCAATAATCATAGTTTGTTATAATGGTTTTTGACCTGAAAGAGACAGGCAGGAAAAGGAAGCTGCATGCTTAGCTAGTATGAAACAATTTCTGAGCAACAGTAAAAAGCATTCCAAGCCTTCCCCAATCACTGTGTAGCATGGAGAGTAAAAAGATGACAGTGAGGGAGGGAGCCTCCTCATCAAGAGAAATGCAATGTTTCCAACATGCAACAGGTTAATCAGACAGTCAACACAAGCTTCTATCTGTGGGAAATTCCAAAATGGGCAAGAAATCTTGAATACTTTCTTAAGCATTTTTGGAATTCCAAGTGGGATGCTACATAATGGATTAACAACACGTGGCAAACTGGGCTACTATGGAGGCCTAAAGCCTCCTTTGGTGTATACAAAAATTGCGATTTTCCTCATTGCTGTGGGTGATGTTTAAAAGAACACAGAATAACTCACCTGCAACCAAAGATTCTTTGTGCAGTTTTTTTTTTTGATGTTTAAAAGAACACAGAATAACTCACCTGCAACCAAAGATTCTTTGTGCAGTTTTTTTAAAAAAAAAAAAAAAAAATACTGAGAGCTTTCAAGTGAAATAAATAAAATAAAATAAATCCAAGCAAGGCAAGCCAGTGTGGACATTTGGAAACATCTGTTAATGGACACACATAGCAAGCTGTTGCTCTTAAAGTTAGCCACCACAACCATAGCAGGTCCCACAGCTAGCAATTAAAAAACATTGATCAATTACCAATTACAGAAGTAGATCAATACTATGCATCAGAAGTAAGCCTCTCTTTATCAGACGGCTGAGCATGGATCTCAGCCTTGTGATATGTGGCATCATAATGATCTTTCTTATTTCTCTTGAAGAAACCACACTACAAGGAAGCAAGGTATTTAGTCAATTTCACAGTTTCCTGTATGAGACCTAAACAAAAGAACATCTCAGATTTTAACCTGTTTTCTAGTTACAGCTTTTTTAAAAAAAGAGAACACTTTCCATCAACCAAAAGTGAACAGCCACTGTACTGTATGTTACACTGTGACAGCATTCAACACACTATCACCATGGATCTCTGATTAGGTATTTATACAGATGATATTAGTCAGATAATTGATTTTTCTATTTGTAACAGAAATTCTGAAGACAAAAGTCATCCTAAAAGAGAAAATGTATACACATCTGATTATAGCTTTGGGTGGTTTCTTCTTACAGGAAAATATGGACTCCAAAAGAGGCAAAAGATTGACTTCTGAGGTTTATTGAGACAAAGATAAGAAAGTAAATTTTCCAAGTAAAATTTAACCCAAATCCAAATAAAATACAGATATACTGTGAGTATTTTTCTGCCTTTTACAGTAAGTTTTATGGAACAAATGCCATCTACTTGAAGCCTTTGAACCTGTGGGGTGAAATCACAATAAAAATTCGAATATACCATCATAAAAGAATGATTGCTGTCATTTTCCCAAATTCTGAACTACCATGTAAACCTTAAATGGTAGGAACCCATGCTCCTCAGGTTAGGTCACTCTAAATGAGTATAAAAGTATAATTCCACTTCCTACTATAATTTCCTTCATTCAGTGATAAAGAACTTTTTACCTAGTTTTTAAGGCTATGGAACTGCCTGCCATTTTGACATATAACTTAGTAGAATAAATCTCTCCTGCAAAATTCTGCTTCCTAGTCTGGCAGCTCATGATGGTAAAAATCTACATTGAAGGTAAAAAATCTAGATTGCTTTGTACAATATGGTAGCTACTAGCTACATGTGGCTGTTCAAATTTAAGCTGAATTACATCACATTTAAAATTCAATACCTCAGCTGTACTAGCCATATTCCAAGTGCTCAATAGCTGAGGGTAAATAGTGGCTACCATATTGCACAGAGCAGCTTGAGAACATCTCTAACATTACAGAAAGTTTTACTGGGCAGCACTGATCTAGACTATTTAGATATTTATTTGCGACTCCCAATGCGAACACAGTGAACATACCCAGTCAACTTTTAATAATATATGCAAGTAAATTGGGTGGGAAGAAGAAGGAACCAGGAACCGAGAATGCTGGTCCTGCCTCCCACTTGGCAACATTCTTAATATCCCTGGGTGTCTTTGTCTGCAAACTGAAGGTGATTGGACCAGTCTGGAGGATTTTTCTTTTACCTCCAAACAAAATCCTGTGCAGAATCCTAATATTTAAAGCAGGTAAAATCAGAACTGCTCTGGTTGACATGGGGATCTCCATCTGCCTACTTTAGCTTGGCCACCTACATGGATGTACAAAACCCAATTTAAAGGCCACTGAACAAGAATCCCCACTGACGCTACAATTCTATGACTTTAACATATAAAAACAAAGAATTCAGTTTAAGAAAAAAGAGTATAAAGTAATAAAAGTGATATTCATGTGGGAGTCGTAGAAGTTATCTAATTATTTTAAGTCCCCTTGAGAATCTGCATATTTTAGAGCTTCAAGAAAACCACTGAGATTTTCTAGTCCAATCCACGTGTTAAACAGCTAAGGCAAACCATAGCCCAGGGAGTGAAATGATTTGCCCAAGATTATAGTTTGGGTTTCTTAACTCTCAACTCACTGCTTTGTCTCACCCTCAACTAAAGACTATCAATAAGACCTGCTCTGAAGAAGACTGTCCCCGTGACCTCTTCCAGAGAGCACAATGAGACCATCCTCAAACATCAAACCTGAAACTTCACTTTTTTTTGGCAGCTGGCTGGTACAAGGATCAAACCCTGGGTCCTGGTGTTATCGGCACCAAGCTCTAACCAACTGACCTAATCAGCCAGCCTCCCAAATTTAGTGTTTGATATCAAATAATTTTCTGAGCATCTCCTATATTGCCTGATGGTGCTTGTCAGAGGAACCTACCGCCTGAGGTTAACGTCAGAGGCAAACAGGCTAAAACCCTATGCCAGGAGCAGTCTTCATGTGAGAAGATACCAAGTTTCAATTTCGTGTTTGGAGGACATCTGAAAATTATCTCAGATTGGCAAAAAAAAGTTATTTGGAAAAATAAAGCAAAAATGAGATGTCCAGTATTTGAAATTAAGAAAATACTGAACCCTGTCTATTATACTCTTGGATCCAAGGAAAAGAAGAGAGTGGCTTGATCCTAGGTGGTTGCTGGTTCATCAAAAACCCTCTGGATCAGACGCGTTCAGGAATGTAGAATTTTTGGCATTTTAGAAAATATGCTGCATACATAATGTCACTATAATCAAAATGTTAACATTTCTGTAGCGAAATAATGAATAAAGGATAAAGACTATAAACAGCCAATTTTCACATCATGTCAGGTTTTGCTGCCAAGTAAGTCATTATAAACTTTCAGTTTTCAGAGCTTTTTGGAATTGTAGATAAGGGACTGTAGATCTCCATTACTCACTAGGAATAATCCAAAATCTACAGGTTGTAATCTTTGGTAACAAAAGTTTGTATCTATCTCATATACACTTTTTAGTTACGTATACTGTTTACTGGTAGAGAGAAGGGGAAGATTACATTTTATTTGCAGTCAAAGGACCAAATTCTAATGAGGACCATCATATTGAGCCCAGATCTTCCCCACGTTTGATATAGGCTAGGATGACACCTAGGGATAGAGTTATTCATTCACTTCCTGCTTTTCTATTCCTAATCTAGCTGCAAGTATAATGAACCCCAATGGTTGCCATGAACATTTCTTTACAGAAGTTGAAATTCTGCAGGGATACAGATTCAGATTAATCTGATACCCAACAATTTAGCTTAGATCCAGACTTTAGTTAGGTGAAGAAAATGCTAAAGTAATAAAATTTAAATCTGTTATTTGCCAGACATGCTAAATTATATGTGAGATATCAAAATTCATTCATTTAAGAAAAGTCTTGTAATGTGCAAATAATGCTCCTTTAAATACAAACTAATAGGAGATACACGGGTGTTCACTATAAAATTCTCTCAGATTTGCTGTGTTGGAAAATTTCCATAAAAAAATGTTGGGAAAAATGAAGGGATGAAAAGAAAACATACTATTTAGTGTTAATTCACATTTTTTTGAACATGAAAAGTTTATATCATGAAACCCAAATGCCAGATATGACTTACCTTCCATAGTAAAAACACTAATAGAGCAAGCATCAAAATCCCAGCAAGAACAGCCACTAGGATGATCCACCAAGGTATTCCTGAATACTGAGTGACAGTCTTTGAGGGAAACACAGTCACACGAACCTGTAGGATGTAAGAGAAAGCAGCATCACTCTAAGCTAGGGTGAGAGTTAACACCAGGAAGTTATAGTTCTGACTCTGCTTCTGAACACACTTTAGACAATGCAGCCTATGGACAGATGAGATGACCTTCTGATGTAAGATCCTTTCTCTTAATAACATAACATTGCTTCAAGAGGCATTCCTTGGAGATCTTTTCCTAGAACCTGGAAAATGCTAGGTTGTGTTCTGACAAAATGATTATTTCTTTGCTAACTTATCTTTTAAAAAATATTTTGTTACCAACAAGTCGAAAAACCATAATAAAAAACCATCAGTATTCATCATGCTGTTTCAACAATTATCAATACACAATCTTATTTCACCTATATACCCTGATATCTTTTTGAGAATGATCCCCCTTTAATTAATTTTTGGCAATGGAAAGAAGTTGGCATATACACAATTAGCCTACATTCCTCACTCAGATTTTAAAGATGTTATGAAATATGAAAATAGGGATAAAGCTGCATGACTTATTGATATCCTAAGAAAAGGTTAAAATTTTTCTGAAATAGCTCAGTGCCATCTTCTACAAAAATGTGTATGAACAAACTAGACCCTAGATTCATTCAGAGGCAGTTTAGAGCTTAAGATGCTGCTGATGAAAAGCTTAAACTCTAAACATTTGATAGTTGGCAAATACCAATTAAATGGACATAGTCTTCACTCAAAAACCTAAAAAGTTGCTTTTGGCAATTTACAACAACTCAGTTATGTGGGTTTAGGACAAACCGACTTTTGTGATGCAAGGGACTATTTTTCAAAGCATGCAAAAGACCCGGTGCTGCTATGAACCTGATGTTGTAAACTACACTGATTAGAGACCTACTGGCTTGAAGTTTCTCATATTTCTGAATTAAGAGCATGTAAAGGGTAAACAAAACTCAGAGGAAGCATTTACCTCCTGAAAAATGTTTTTACTCAAGTAGTCTATATTAGTAAGGAACCCTGGATGCTGCATAAAAACACTTCTATGTCTACATGTGCTTCAATACTTCTACACTGATTCTTTTTTCAAACTTTCTTTATTAAAGTACTTCCCTTCCCAATTCTACTAGAAAACAGCTTATCAACCTCATTCGACTTACAGAAAATACATAAGAGCAGCAGAACTGCTTTTCTTTAAACATTTAATAGGCATGAGTTCACATCTGGAGTTTCCAGCCAACTGTACTGACTCTAACAGGTAGGCATAAAACACCTTCATCAGCTACCATGTTTCCTGTTATGCTCTAAATGAGGTTTCCCCCAAGCTCCCAGCCCCAGGGTGGCCTCGTGGCTCACTTCCCCTCACCTTCCCTCCCCCAACAGGTGTCCCAGCTCGAAGCTAAATCAACCCCTTCTTGAGATTACTGGGTTCATCATACAGCATCCAAAAAGGAGGCAAGAAAGAAGAAACAGTGAGGGGCCAGTGAAGAAAATCATCATGCGGCTGGTAAACAGACTATGCTAACAAAACAGATGATTTCTATTAGCCTAGGCTGTATCTCATTTAACTTTGCTTCCTTAGTATCTAGCACATGGAAGGCCCACAGTGTGTCCTTAGGGGAAGGTGGCCATGTGGAAAGGCCATCCACATTTGTAAGAATAAGTTCTGGTAAATCCACAAGTGGAGAGTGGAGACTGACCTATGGCAAATCAGCCTTACTATAATCACACCATGTGTGAGTGCTTTTAAAATGGCTGAGGATGTGGGGGACCACTCCCCTGGTGGCTGCAATCTAACATCCAACGGCATAAGGATTGAACATGTAATTGTGGATTTTGCAGCCTGGGGTGGCCAGGTAGGTGTGTGGGAATCCCGCTGAAGCTCTAAGCTCTGGGTCTGGCCACCATTCAAATCAATTCAAACTTGGAGACTTTCAGATGCTGTAAAGCAGCTCACTGAGCATCAAAGATGGAGGACGCATGTTAGGGGCTGGGCTGGCTACACATTTAAAGAGCAGATGTGGTCTGGTAAGGTGAGAGGCCAGTCAGCAAGACTTTATTGTTTGTTCACTTAATTGTCAACTGAGGTTTTTTTGGAATGACAGTCATTCTCCAGCTGGGATGGGTAATAAGGCAGAGCTGGCATAGAACCAGGTAAGGGGGGACAAACCATGGGCTACAATTCCCAGAGCTCTGAGAAGGCTTGTCTTGTCTCAGCAACCGTTATCGATGAACAGTGACAGCTGAAGGTAAGTAGAAACTACTGTAGAGCTTTACAACTACAAAAGCAATTTTCTTCCTTTAGTTTCACATTAAAATTTAGGTATTTCCATGGGGATGACCTATGCATGTAAACCTCATTTATAATGTGCCCATAAGAGGAAAAGAGGCTTAAATTCTGCTGATTCATTAAATTTGATCACTAGTAAGTGCTTAGAACACGTGAGCTTGCCAACTGCAAAAATACTTTCCCTAAATTACTGTGTAATGTAATATACCCCGCTCTTATCGAACATGAGTATAAGAAACCACCTGATAAAGGTGGTTTTACAAAAGTATTTATTTAGAACACGTGAGCTTGCCAACTGCAAAAATACTTTCCCTAAATTACTGTGTAATGTAATACACCCCACTCTTATCGAACATGAGTATAAGAAACCACCTGATAAAGGTGGTTTTACAAAAGTATCTATTACAAAAAATACCTATATCTTTTACAAAAGTATCTTTTTTTTTTTTTGTCCTTTTTGAGACCAGCCGCACTGTGCTCAGCCAGTGAGCGCTGTGAGCGCACCCGTCATCCCTATATAGGATCCGAACCCACGGCGGGAGCGCTGCTGCACTCCCAGCGCCGCACTCTCCCGAGTGTGCCATGGGCTCGGCCCACAAAAGTATCTATTAAAGACACCATCCACTGTTAGCGAGTGTTCCTCATATAAGAAACCATCTTATAAAAGGTTCTTCTCTGAATATAGAGCCAGAAAAGAAAACCTCATTCCCCTGAAGAATGGTGTACTTATTTTTACCTATCCTATTTTCTCTTATCTTTGGCAGCCAGGAAGCTTGTGTACTCTCTACCTGCTTCCTTAGGAACGAAGTGGGGGTATATAGATACAACCAATAAACAAGCCCTCTTTCCTTGGCTTACTTCAACAATTCTCTGCTGGTTCTGTCTCTTAGAGCATGAAATTCGTAACTGACACCATATCTTATTCAACTTTGCTTTTCTAGCATCTAGCACAGTGAAGGCACACATGTGTCTTTAATAGGTGCTTGTTAACTGGATGCATTTTATTTAACTGATGCTAAAATGATGCCATCTTACCTATTTCAATTATGTGACAGATGCTCTAACTTTGTCACGATAGTGTCTGAATTTAAAAATGTTCTATTGAGGAGTGATTACAAAACTCTTGAATTTGGTTGGTTATAAAAAACAATATTTTTTTAGTTTTTTTTTTTTAAGCCAAGATTAGAGTAAAAGCAATGAGAAGTTTTGATATTAAGACCAAAAGACAAGACTGAATTACTCAACCTCTTTTGCCTCTATCTCCAATGAACGTGATCTTTAAACTGGAAAAGATGAAACCAAGATAAAGATGAAATTGTAACCCACAATAAGACAGGGGATAAAAAAGGAAGGCATTCTGACACTTGAATTAAGCTCAAATCTTCAGGCCTAGAAAAACCACACCTTAAAATACTTAAAGAAATGTGTAGATATGATACCTGAGCTATTGCATCTCAGAAATCACAGAAAATAGAGGAGGCATCAGGATACTAGCCATAAGAAAATGTCTTAATTTTCAAAAGAAATAGGTTCTAGAATGAGACCAATAATTCACTTGCAAATCTACCAATTCAAAAGAAATAGGTTCTAGAATGAGACCAATAATTCACTTGCAAATCTACCAACTGTTAAAGTAGGATAACAGCAAAGACTCTAATTCCCGTTAGAAAGCATGAGTTCTCCAGGTCCTAAGAACATAAAATGCCCAAGAGAATCTCATTTTTATTTGTCACCCAGCCGTTAGACTGGATAACAGAGCCCCCAGTTCCATCATCTTCCAGAAGAAAAGAACATTTGATGAGGAGTCAGGAAACCCAAGGTCTGGTCTCAACTCTCCCTGCTGGTCCTGTGACTTGAGGGAGAGACATCCTTCCTTGGACTCAGTTTTCTCATCTGAATTTGAGACCTCCAAGTGTCACAGAGTCAAAGAACAGGAATCCTGAAGTCAGTTATGGGTTTCAAGCTGGTACCCCATATTAAATCCCGAGTCTGCTTCCATATTAAATCCCGAGTCTGCTTTCTTGTGTGTAAAATGGGTACAATATCCACCTTGGCATTTTAAGTTTAAATGATAAAATAGTAAATTGTAGACATTTAATTAATGTTAGTCCCTTCTCTCTAAAGTATTCTCTTTTCAGCTCTAAAAACTCAGTGATTCTAAGTTACTGATTTATGGTTGCAGAAAGCTACAGCAGCTGCCTTCAGTCAAAGATGCAGAGAAAAGATTCTCAGGGAAGGTGTGGTTCACTTGCAAGTCCATTATGATGCCTTATTGGTAAGATGTAGAAAGCTGGGCTGGAATAATTTATAGTGATAACAGAAAGCCGGGGTGACTGTACATCCTGGTGAGCCTGAGACCACCCTGGTTTACACCATTTGTCCCAGCGTCCTTCCTGCCCAGTTTAGTATTTGTCCCAGACAAATGTATTCTGGTTTGGATGACAAATTATAAGGACACCCTAAGGACCACTATATTTCAGAAACCAGAATGATCAGGCAGGCTCACTGAATTTTCAGCTAGCTAAATGACTGAAGTTAGAAGATTTCCATAAGCAGACCAGCAGATTAATGTAAAAATAGCAATTCATAATTATTCTTTNCCGGGGTGACTGTACATCCTGGTGAGCCTGAGACCACCCTGGTTTACACCATTTGTCCCAGTGTCCTTCCTGCCCAGTTTAGCATTTGTCCCAGACAAATGTATTCTGGTTTGGATGACAAATTATAAGGACACCCTAAGGACCACTATATTTCAGAAACCAGAATGATCAGGGAGGCTCACTGAATTTTCAGCTAGCTAAATGACTGAAGTTCGAAGATTTCCATAAGCAGACCAGCAGATTAATGTAAAAATAGCAATTCATAATTATTCTTTCTCCAGCCTTTTTTGTAAAACATTCCCACGGTTCCCACCATGACAGTCATTCTACCTCAAGATCTTAATTCAAGTGTCTGTGGGTTCTGCACCCCCACAAAGGTTCACTGCAAGGTTCTGCTCCTAGTCCTATTCAGTATTTTTGTTAATTACCCGGAAGAAGACACAGAAGGTATGCTTCTCAGTTCCGAAAAAGATAAAACTTGCAAGGATAGAAAGCTGAGAGAGCAAATGATCATGATTCAAAATTACTTTGCAAACTGAAACAATGGACCAAAAGCAAATCACATAAAATGTGAGGATACATTTAAAGGCATGCATTTAGGATTTTAAAATCTGCTCAAAGACAGGATACTGGAAACATAGACTGATGACAAATTCTGAAGAAAACACCTGAAGTTTCAGTAGAACACAAACACAAAAATACCACCTGCTAGAAATTCAAACACACTTCTCAGCAAACATTTAAAAATTAAATTTTAAGCTGCACTGACAGAAGTGTGGTGCTCAGATGCAAGACCACACCTCAGCTACTCTGTCCCTATGGGACAGAAAGGGAGAGGTCAGGAAACAGCTTGGCTGTGCCCCGCATGATGGATGACTGAATAGCTGGGTACGTAGCTCTGAAGAAAATAAAAAAGACACATCCAAGGAGGAATGACAGTTTCCTTCAATTATATGAAAGGCTGCTACATGGCCAAGAGAGAATTTGTTTTAGACTTGTTCCAAGGGGCATAACCAGGGACTTATTTTACAAGGTTCAATTCTGAATCTATACACAAAGAGATCTTTTCTGATAACTGCAGCTGTTATGCTCACACATGCCATGGGCATTCCATCACTGAGGGCACACCAACAGTGGCTGCAGCACCAGAGATGGCATAAGACACAGGGTTTCCACAGGGCTGCGAGGTGCACCCATTCTTTCACTGAGCTGACAGCTCTCAAACCTACCATGGGCGCTACTGGATAGATGACCTTAGACTGACTTCTTTCTTTCAGTGATTCTTCAAAATACAGCTTGGGGTGGCAGCTCCTTAAGACACTATCTGTTTTATCATTAAGTGGGGGTACCCAGGCTAGGTTGGAAATGAGGGCCAAAGAGCATGACCTCAGGCCATGGGCATGGGGTAGAGGGAAGAGGGACTTGCTCTGAATATGAATGGAGTTGGGGACCTCTCACCTGAGTGCCTGCATTTGGCAGCTTGATATTCTCGGTGGCAGCAGTCACATCAATAGAAGCCCGCACGAGAATGTCTAAGTAGTTCATTTTGGAATATTCCTGTTTGGAGACAGTTAGTGGATGCATTAGGGAAGTGAGAAATGTCTGAGGCGGTGGCAAATGACTTCCAGGGGACAGCCTCACGGCAGGGCCACACCTCTAGAAACGTGCTGTTCCATAACCTTGAATGAAGAATGACAGAGGCCTTGCTGTCCAGCCCTTGCAGTGGGCACCGGATGTTCACACAGTTCACATTCACACTACAGTTCTAGAAGGAAAAGGAAAACTGGGAGTCAAAATACATTGGTCAGGGAAGTCCTTTGCCCCATCCTCTGTCAAATAAATATTCACAGCTCTTGAAAAATACTCACAAGGGTCTGGTACTTTCTTTCAGCAAACAAAGAAAATTTTCTGCTACCATCTCTCTGTTTCTCAGCAATTTCCCGTTTCTTTCTTGAGTTGTGAGACCGCTGAAAAGAATTATATCCAAAATAGTTCCACTTTACATAATTC